TTTCATCCATTTTGAGACAGTTTATTCACGATCTTAAAATCAAATCGCGTTGAATAGAATAATTATAATTTGAATCAATTCAAAATGTATTACGAGAATTAAATTGATTATACAAAAATAATTTATTTGATGCAATTTATAATAATTTATTTTCAATTCGAAAAGCTATAATTTGAACCAGTTCGAAATATGTTATAACAGTTAAATTAATTGTAGGAAAGTAATTTATTTTTCTAATCATAAATTCTTCAAAAAATAATATCTTGATATTGGGAACACAGAAAATTAAACCTCTTTAATTGGATAAATATAAAATATTCGTAAATTTTTAATTCTATTTACACAATATATCCTCCTTTACACGTTAATGATTTAAATATTGCACGGACAAATAAAAATTCTAACGTCGCTATTATTTTTATAAATCTTAACTGTCTTAACGTTGAACAAGCAACCCAATTTTTTTCACATCCAAATCAAAAGCTTGCTACCAATCCAACAAATAATATTGTTACAATTTTGAAATTAATAAATTAATAAAAATAATTTTAAATTCAATCAATAAATCGACACGTCGAATTGATGAATAAATTCCAGCTGAATTAAAGATGAAAACCGGCCAATGGTTGATGCCATTATTGGTAATCGTGTATCGAGTATCGCGTACAAATCCATTCGTTTTATAAAAAAAATTAAATTTCGAAACATAACGAAAATATTATTGTCAATAAATCCGAACCACCAATCACGATTCAAAAATAATGCACAATGATTACCTAAAAATTTCACATCAAGTTATAACATCATCGAAAATTTTTGAACCTTAGAAATATATTTTCTATCCGCAATATCGTTTATTTAATTAAACCATCAAATAACCACTCTCAGCCTGTTGTGTGATCATCACATTTCTTACGCCAACTTCAATGTCGAGCTTAATTTTCGAAATAATTTAAGTAAATAAAGAATTTGAATTTGTTACATCTCGCCATTCTACACAATTTTAAATTCTTATATATATATATAAGGATCGAAAGTCAGTCATCATTTGTACTGCTGTTAAAAAAAGAAAAAAAAAAAATCATGTTTTCTTCCGGTATTTCAAATTAAAACATAAACATAATCAATGTTTTATTAATTAAAATTATTATCGTGATATAATTGAATTTTATTCGTTCGAATAATATGAAAAAATAAAGACCGAATGGCTCAAACGGACGAACTTGATTTATTGGAAGGCTTGGATCTTTTTTGGCCTATCTTCTAAAAAAAAAAAAAAAAAAAAGAAAAAAAAATTAAGAAGAAGTTGAAATTCTTCCTTCGAAATCATCGATTCAGACAGTTTTCGTATTATACGCGAGAAAATTAACGCGATCGAACCCGCGCGTTCCTTCCACGGACGCGAATCCAAGATAAAAAGACCTGCCGTCTGATTTAGAGAGGAGATATACGGGGAAGGATATTTGCCGTCATAATAATACGTGAAAAGGGGGGGATGGACGGGAGCGATGGCTCGAGTCGGCGCGCCTCCTAAAAGCTGGCCCGACCAGCCAGCTCGCTGTATCAAGTTGAAATAAGAGAGGAACGACGAAGAAATGTAAATGTAAATATTAATACAGAGAGATACCAGGTACCGGTGGCTAAGAGGGAGGACTTCCTCCTACGGGAATCCTCCTTTCCCTCGCCTCTTTCGTTCCGTTCAAATATTTAATGGATTCGGGATTCTACATCCTCCGCCTTTATACGGTTTTATACGCGGTGTACACGGGCGCCGCGCATCGGCTGCGCGATGACTTTGCGCGTGGCACGTTTTTCGACGATCGTTTTATACGTTATATATTTCGAAAGGTTAAAAAAGGATCCGTTGACCGAATTTTCCCAGAATTTTTTTTTTCTGCGGGACGAAAGTTTTTTTCGAAGATCTTTATCGGTACGCGGGCGCTCGATGAAAAATTCGTTTTAATGGAAAACTTTTCGAGAGAGAGAGAGAGAGAGAGAGAGAGAGAGAGAGAGAGAGAGAGAGTATAAG